CAAGATGACCAGTTTCAACAACTGATGTTGCTTCTTCATTGTTTTCAGCAGATGCCGGTGAGGAAGAAGTCCTTGGCACTTCACTGCTTTGAGGCTGGCTGATGCCAAGATTCTCCAGAATAATTCTCAAGTTGTAGCACTTATAACCTTTCTGCGTGTGGGAGTATCCAATAAATATGCCCTTGACACTCTTGGCTTCTAGCTTGTTTCTCATTTCTCCTGGTGTCAAGACATAACAAACACACCCAAACACACGTAGATGATCAATTGGAGGTTTAATTTTGTTTAATACCTGAAAGGGAGATACATCTTGGAGAACTTTGGTGGGGATTCTATTTATCAGATAGCAAGCTGATACCACCGCATCTCCCCAAAATATCTTAGGAACATTGGTGTGAAACATCATGCTCCTTGCAACCTCCATAAGATGGCGATTCTTCCTTTCAGCTACTCCATTTTGTTGGGGTGTGTAAGGACAGCTTGTTTGATGGATAATCCCATGTTTCGTTAAGTGATGTTTGAAAGCATTGCTTATATATTCGCCCCCATTATCAGACCTGAAAATTTTGATCTTGGAATTGAAATGGTTAGATATATAGTTTTGGAAGTTAATAAAAGCTTCTAAAACCCTATCTTTAGTTTGAATCAGGGTGAGCCAAGTATATTTTGATTTTTCATCTATGAATGTAACAAAATACTTATGATTCTCCCTAGACACGCAAGGAGCAGTCCAAACATCAGAGTGCACAAGATCAAAACAATTCTCGTAAATAGTCATTGATTTAGGAAAAACCGACCTCTGATGTTTACCAAGAATACAAGCCTCACAACTTTCATTCTTAAACGATAGATTAGGTAACATCAAACCTAAGGCACGAGAATGAGGATGACCTAATCTAGCATGCCATAACACATCACTAGCTAAAACATAAGTAGAATTAAAAGCACAAGATAAATATGAAACTTTGGTATCTTCAAGCAAATATAGCTCTCCCTTGCTCACACCTTTTCCCAGCATCTTATTGATCTTAATATCCTGAAAGCAAACATTATTAGGACTGAAAATAACATTGCAATTTAGGTCATTAGTTGCTCTCTTAACAGATAATAAGTTTGAAGTAAAAGTGGGCATGTAAAGAGCTTGAGAATCTTTATTAAATAGTTTCAGATTTCCTATTCCTTCTATGGGTATTTTATCACCATTTGCAATTTCTACACTGCCTTGAGCTGGGGTTACATTATTAATCAGTCTAGCATCCCTAATCATATGATGAGAAGCTCCTGAATCAATGATCAAAGGTCTAGTAGTGTGAGATCCATTGTGAACAGAGTTTAAAGTATTAATACTAATGATACCGGAGTTCGCATTAAGAGCCTTTATAAGGGCCTCAATGTCTGACTTGCGGATGAAAGCATCATCAGGAGATGGCTGGGACATAGCGTGAGAGGTGGAGCCACCAGTGTACTCATGAGCTCTTGCTTCATGTGCTTTGGCCTGGTTCAACTTGGCTGGTTTGAGGTGCGGGTGGAGGATCCAGCAGTTGGTTTTGGAGTGTCCCAACTTCTTGCAATGCTCACACGCCACATGCTTGTCTCCTCCTCCCCTTGGTTTGAATTGAGCTTTAGTAGCTGCTGCACTTTCCACCTTCTTAGCCTTGTTTGCCATAGACATCTCTTCTTTTCTCCCAAAGTGACCATCTGAGCCAATCTCCTTTTGAAGTTGAGCACACACATCATCATAGCTTTGGAGCTCCTTAGCTCTCAATATGTGTTTAACCACATCACTGAAGTTTGAATTGAGTGTGAGAAGAAGACCAAAGACCTTGTCTTGCTCACGCCTCTCCTCAAGAGTGTTGGGATCATTAGTGTTTGGCCTTNTGAAGTTTGAATTGAGTGTGAGAAGAAGACCAAAGACCTTGTCTTGCTCACGCCTCTCCTCAAGAGTGTTGGGATCATTAGTGTTTGGCCTTAGCATTTCCAATTCCGACCATAGCTGACTATACTTCCCAAGATGCTTGGTGAAGTCACTCTCCTCTTGCTGCAAATTGTTGATGGCTCTCTTAACTTCAAAGATTCTTGTCAGATTTGAAGTATTGCCATACACCTTTTTCAAGGTATCCCACAACTGTTTTGGAGTTTCACATTGTGAGTAAGAGTCCATGATAGGACCATCAAGAGAGCTTTGCAAGATAGACATCACCATGAGATCTTCCTGATCCCATTTGCCTTCATCTACCACTACAATCTCCTTGCCATCTTCTCCTTGGGTGATTTGCCTTGGTGCGGAACTTGAAGTGATATGCTCCCAAAGACCTCTTCCTCCGAGGGATGTTTTGGCCAATCTAGACCAAGTGATGTAGTTTTCTCCTCCCTTGAGAACAACATGAATCTTGACTTGTATGAATTGATTCATCTTTAGAGACTATTATCCACTGGTTACACAAAGAAGCCAAGAAAAAACAGTCACTGAAATTTTACAACCCAAGAACACAGATTTCTTATCCACAAAATAAAGTAGATCTGGAAAGAAAATAGAAGGAGTAGATTGATATATCAAATAGAAGAGAATATCAGAGTTAAATCGCGGAACCAAAATAGGTACTCAAGAGTTTATAGCTCTGATACCATGTAAGAAAGTGAAGCTTTGAGATTGAAGAACAAGAGAGAGATAAGAGAAAAGAGTAAAGAAAGAGAAAGTTTTTCCTTAGATCTAAAAAATAATGTTACAAAGAGTTATAAAGAGAGAGAGCATTCTTATTCTAGTAACCAAACACACTTGGGTTACTAGAAAAGTTAGAATAAATAACTAATTTATTTATTTAATTCAATACTTTTCTCACTGGAAGAGTCTCTGAAGAGGGGAAAGGGCTACGAAGGAAGAAACGAAGCTTCACGCTACTTGGGAGCACGCATAGTGTGATGTTTTTCCTGATGCATTTGTTTCTCTGCTTCAATAAACCCAAAATGGAACAAGAAAAGAAAAGAAAAAAAAGAGAGTAAAATTCTTACAGAAGAAATAAAAACCTAAGTATGATTTCAAGTTGTCAAAAACCTTGAACTTTAACAAGAAAACCATGAACAATTATAACAAGGAAACAAGATATCAAAAGTCGATGAGAACAAGGAAACATAAAAGTCGATGAGAACAAGGAAACAAAAGTTTAAGTTAGTGAAAGTTCATCAGGTCTTCACTCTTCAGTTACAGAAGAGTAAGAAAAAGCAATGAGAACCCACCTTTTTTAGATGCAAAGAAGATGGACCAGACGAGAAGAGAAAGAGAAAAAACAACTCACCTTTTTTTGGAGATAGATAGAGATTACAATGACACAAACAAGAACACAACACAAAGCTCGAGGGATAAATTTGTTTTTAAACCCGACCCAGACACCTTAAAATTTCACATTTCTTAGAAACATAAAAAGTATTTAAATTTACTCTCTTTATTTTATTTTTATTCACATATAAAATATTTAAAATTAGATTAGATTATTTAACAATTTTTATAAGAAATTAGAAGATGAAACATATAATAAATCATAACAAAACTTAAATCTCATAAGTTTTAGATATTTATCATTAGTCAATATATTTTCTTTAAAAGCCATAATGTTCATCAAAATAAATAAATTTGATTAGCAAAAAAAATATTTATTTATCACATGTAAAATCAAGAAAATAATATAAAAACATGTAATTAGAATAAAAATGAAATTTATGATAAAAGTTAAAACCTAGAAATTAAAATCAAATGTTATTCACCATATATGAAATCAACAAAAGTTTTAAAACAAAACTGAAGGAGATATATAATATATGTAATAGCACGAAAACAATAATTTTATCAGAAAATTAAAAATTAATAGTAAAAATATAACTTCTTATTTTGGGTACATACATTTTTTTAAATAAAATAGTTAAAATCTAACAAAAACTAAATAAAAATAACTTATTGGTTTATCTGATGGTTTAACTGATAGCCGGGTCACCGGGTTTAAAGGTTCTTAGCGCGGATTTTATCGGGTTTTTAATTAGTGAATATTTCTTAAAAATTAAACCGGATTATTTATCGGATCACCGGGTTTAGCGGTCGGACCACGGATCCGGATCGAGCGTGAAAACACTGTGTTTAAGTTAGTGAAAGTTCATCAGATTTTTTTTTTGCATTTAGACCCAAAATAAGCAGTTCATCAGATACGTCAGTTACGGAAGATAATTTTTTCCTCTTTTTAAATTTTTGGGTTCGCCTTATTTTTATTTATCTATAGTTTTTGGGCGTAGAATTTTATAAGATTCTCTTTTGTTTTGTCTCTATTAGGCTATCCTTGAGTCATCACAGTGATTGATCTAATTTCCCAAAGATGATGCAAAGATATTCATTTTAGTTTTAATAAAACCCCTTCCAAAAGAAAAGAACTTATTTGAGTTGGTCCAAAGAAGTTCCAATTATGTAGCCATTGGAACATAAATTCAATAATGGTTAAGTCTAAAATGACTTGACCCACTTAAAGCTGAAGATGTTTTGTTCAATGATGTATTTGATGCTTATTTTTCACCTAACTGGAAAAATTCGAGATTTTTATTTTACCTTTTTCTTACAAAACTGAACCTTTTGTTTAAATTTGACATTAACTTGTTCATCAATTTATCCTAAATTCTTTTCTTGGAGTAAAAAATTGTTCTTGTATTTTTCTGTATATTAGAAACCCATTTTGAAATCAAAGTTTCCTCCTAATTAAACTTAGAATAACTTGCCTTTTTCATTTCACAAAAATTGTTACAAAAGCTAAGTTACAAGTATAAATTCGTTGAATCTTCGTTATCAATAGTAAGAAAAGCATAATTCTAAGAGTGTTCCTTTTATTAAAGCGAAGAATAACTTGATATTGTGATTTTATATCATCTTGTGTGTATATATATTGAAAGTTCCCATCATTATGTGAAACTAAAACATAATAAAACTATCAAAAAGTATTGTAATAAAGCTTAAATTTATCTTGTCTATGGAAAAACTCAACAAAATTTATTCACTATACCCAACACGCGGGCTAAAATGTGACGGCTGTAATCTTGGTGAAGACTACTACAGTGATGGCTATCGTTGCATTCGTTATGGACTCTTCTTTCACAAGGAGTGTGCTAAGTCTGATCAAGATGTCTGCAATCTCTATCATCCACAACATACGTTAAAAATCAAGGCAATTTCAATAATAGAAGATGCCAATGGTGAATGCAAGCTTTGTAGAGGTAACTTGCCAAAAATGTACTATTATTGTTCAATATGTGATTTTGCAATCGATTTGGTATGTGCAAGAAAAGTAGTTGTCTTAACGATTGATATCCCAAGTACCCATGAGCATCGTTTATCACTTGTTCCAAAAATGAATATTTTTTCTTGTCATATATGTAAATTGTTTGATGATCAGTTCCCTTATGCTTGCGACATATGTGGTCTGAGTTTTCACAAAGATTGCGCTGAATCTACACCAGAACTCAACTACTCTTGTCATCCTAAACATTCCCTCAAGCGTCTCACACGTGTTCCAAGTTACACCAATGGAAAATGTTGCTTGTGCAAAATCAAGCTTCATATTGTGTTTTATCATTGTTCTATCTGAAATTTCAGCGTGGATGTTGAATGTGCAAAGAATCCACCCCCATTCACTCTTGACCACCCCAAATCTCATGAAAATTTACTTTCTCTCTTGCTGCAACGAACGTTTGTTTGTAATGCTTGTGGAATGGATGACGATCCAAATTCTTATATATGTCTTCAGTGCAATTTCATGGTCCATAGAAATTGTATAGACATACCACACATTATAAAAGTTAGTCGCCATGTTCATTGTATAACCTACAATGATTGCCTCAAGGCTGGTAATTGGAAATGTGAAGTTTGTCTGAAAGAGATAAATTGGACATGTGGAGCTTATTCTTGTTCGCAGTGTCCTGATTTTGCAATTCATATGAGATGTGCCACAAGGTTTGGGATTTTGGACGTGATTGAACTTGAAAGCATATTAGAAGATACTACCGACGCTAAAGCATATGAAGTGATTGAAGAAGGAGTAATAACGCATTTTATTCATAAGAATCATACATTAAAGCTCGAAGAAGGGGGTGATGCTAATGGTGAATGTAGGCGTTGTACAGCATGCACATATCCCATATTTTCTAGCCTATTCTATGATTGCACGGTATGTGACAAATTCATCATTCATCAGAAGTGTGCCTATCTCCCAAAAAAGAAAATAGATCCTTTCTACAAGGTGTCCATGACTTTAGCCGCATATACTTACGATTTAAGTTTATGTGATGCTTGTCAAAACTATTTTGAAGGTTTCGTGTACGCAAGTGATAATGATATCATCCGCCTTGATGTGCGATGTGGTTCTATAACTGAGCCTTTTGTCCATGAAGGTCATCCTCATCATTCGTTATACGTCAGTTACTCAACAACAGACAAATTCTGCAATGCTTGTGGAGATAAGGCACATATGGTTTTGAGTTGTGAGGAGTGTGGATTTTTTTTAGACGTTAAATGTTCTATTTTGCCAAAGATGGTTAAACACAAAAATGATAAAGATCATTTTCTGAGTCTATGTTATGGAGAAAATACAAACGAGCAGTACTGGTGCAAGATATGCGAGGAAGTTCTGAACCCTAAAAAATGGTTTTATTCCTGTGATTATTGCGGCATCACTTTTCATATCAAATGTACGTTTGGAGGTTTCATATGGATTAATCTAGGAGGCGAGGCCGAATCCATATATATGGTTATTGCCAACAATTATTCAAGTCGGCCAGTTTGTAATGGGTGTGATTCTCGTTGTCAATACCCAGTTATCCTGAAGTTGTTCTTTACAGTGTTTTATAAGTGTAGTAGCTCGCTAGTGATTTATGTAAATGGATTTACAGCATGTTCTTTTTTTTTTTTCTAAAAGATAAATATCATATTAGTGAAAGTTCAGATTTACAGCATGTTCATGGTCACCATATTGTTTACCTCAAAAGATTATTTTTTTAACAAATCAAATGTCTATAAGGTGTATGTTTTCGTATATTTAAATCAAACATAGGTGTGTACTACTTATGTTGGATATGGTTTCTTTGCAAAATAAGTTTTTTAGAGCCTTACAAACAAACAAACAAAAACTGAAAAAGGAGAAAATCAATCAATCTGTAAAACGGGATTACAATGAATGTGATTCTTCTACATGACCAAAAAATTAACAAGTGAGAAACAAAAAACCTGCAGGTCTCCATACCCACTCCTTTAAAGGCAACACAAAAAGTAGACTTTTGAAGGCTAATCTGTACGCTTGATTTATGCCACTCAATATCTATTTCTTCTATCAACGCTGATACATTTTGCAGAGCTTTTTACATATATTCAGAGCTCTATAAAAAGCTCTGAATAAAAGAATGTGTCTCAAAAGCGATGATATGTTTTGCTATTATAAAGCATGTAATATTTTTTTTGTAAATAGTGGGAATTCCGGGTCTTTAAGAACCTATTTTTAACTTTTTTTAGTTAAAAGTTTAAGAAACATTTTCTTAACTTTCGCTAAGAACCCTATTCTAAAAACTTCAGGTTAATCATGGTCTTAGGTCCATAAACTATGCCAGGTCTGGTGTCAGCTTTTAGATATTCTGATTTAAAAAATAAACCTTCGTACCAAAGGTGATTTAAACCTAAGGCACATGAGTATGTAATTTTTTTTAGGACGATGCATGAGTTAATTAGGACGATGTTTCCAAAACCAGAACAGTCACAAAATTTTTTGGATTATGGATCAATATAGTTCGACCAAGTTCAACCTTATTCAATTATATTTGATCATACACTAAAAGCTATCTATTACTATAAAGAAGAGTTTATATCCTTCTCCTTGATCCACGTCACTAATTAGAAGAGTGTAGTGATGCCACGTGTTAATTGTTTGAGTTTCAAGATTAATTGTTAAGCATCGAGGTCTCCTCCAGAGACGGGAGCATCGATCGAGAAGCAGTTGACGAAGGAAGCGGCTTTGGATATCTCCTCGGCGGCTAGAGAAGGATCGGAGGTAGTCATGTCGACGAGGATGCCTCCCGGAGATAGACCGGACAGAGCACCGGAGTTTGGATCGAGGATGACGTGCCGGACATCTGAAGGGTAACCGACGATGGGGAAGACGACGTCTGATTGGAAGCGAGGGAGTTTGGGGAGTCGGCTAGCTTGGCACCCATGGAGAGAAGACTCTGGGCTTTGGAGATTGTGCGGTTGAAGACAGTGATGGAGTATCCAGCTTCGATTAAGTGTCCGCACATTGACCAGCCCATGAACTCTGTCTGCTTCTTCTTGCCGTTATGTAGCTCCAGTGATTTGGAAAAACAACCGCTTCCCTTTTCTTTTCAGATTTAATGGTAATGACAGGATTAATCGAGCTTATGGCTTCAAACATGTGGCTCATGTGGCTCTTGGGAGTTTCATCAAGGGCTTTCAAAACTCTCAGAGGGGACAGACATAACCTCGGCGGCTCCAGGCGTTTCCCTCCAAAAATCTCGCAGCTGGGACGAAGGCGTTTCATCCAAATTCTCCACCACACCATTGTCAGATATCTTCAAGGTCAACCCTCTCTCTTTTTTTTCCTCTGTATTTTGATTTGCGGTGTAACCTCAGTTTCTGACATAATGATTGATTGTTATTGGTTGCAGGGGAAGAAAGTCGTCATCTTTGGACTACCTGTCAGAAAAGTTTATGTCCTTTAATCTTTCTTATGTCTTGATCAGGTTTCTGAGTTATGATTATTGTGTGTAGGGAGCTTAGATTATTGTGTGTAGGGAGCTTACACGTGAGTCTTCTCACAGCAGCATGTTCCAAGCTACAAGAGCCACATGGATAACTATCCGACTCCCATATGTCGATTTGATCTGAAATTCAACTCTGCAACTTTCCCATCATCAAGTCGTCCATTACTATGACCAAGCTTTTCTACTGGTTCTTACAAGTTGTTCTTCAGAAAAGTCTACCCTCAACCCAAACGCTAAGGTTTTGTTTGCCGTGCCTAGATTATTATGATTAATGAACGTAGGATCTGCTTTTAATCTTAAAAATTTGTTAATGGGCTTAAGATCTGATTCAGGAATTCAGCTAAACTCCAAACTCAAAGAGTTTCAAACCATCTCCAACAGGTACACGGCCTCAAATCTCCTTAAAAATCANCATCGTCGTCATACATACCGGTTTACTGACACCCTCCATTGTGTATTGTTTTTCTTTTATAGATTTGCTAAAAGAGTACTCCTTATTAGATTTTGTTGACAACTCTGATTTAAATCGCATTATATGCCTTCAAAAGGAAGGGACTCTTATTAGCTTTTGACCAAACCATGAATGGTTCACACGGTTTCAAATAATCTTCTGATGGTTTGATTAATTCTACTTCAACACACTTTCATCCCCGAATAGCCGTTTGATTAGACTAGATTTGGATTTTTGTGTTTATTCACACATGTCTTTGTTTAATCTTTTATATACTGAAACAGATATTAGGTAGGCAAACATGTTTTTTTCTTTCTCTATATGTATATGTATATTTAACCTTTCCCAAATCGATGATCGTTGTTCAATCTTCTACGTATTAAGACTTGATTGGTAACAAAGTAGTGCGTTTTTATTGACAAAGATTTGATTATATAGTCTGAACTTTTAAAAAGCTTAAAATCATATCTCAGAAAGTAAATTCAATGGTTAATGAAGATAACAAGGAAAAAGAGGGAATAGATGTATCTAAGGAATGAAACGATTTGAACAGTCGATTTACTTGAGATTCAAAATCTAACATGTCCAATGGTGTAACTCACCATTGGAATCCTTAAGCATTTTATAATATTTTTTTTGTTATTTGGTTACTTTTTGAATAGTTAAGAATTTTAATGAAAATGTTAAGTCCAATAGTGTTATCCATAATAGAATCCTTAGGAATACAAAAATATTTATGTTCTCTCTTAAAGATTCAGGTTTTGTTGTTCATATATGATCAAGAGAAACAAAAGAAAATGTTTCATCGCTAAAGAGATGTTTACCTCGTCTTTTTGATTAGGATCAGCTCCAGCTTTAAGTAAACAGTTGATTAACTCAAGATCTCCAATATCAGCAGCAATGTGCAACGGAGTTGCACCACCAGCAAACACATTAGCTTTGGCACCTGCCTGTACTTAATAAAATAAGAACCAAGCTTGATCTAAGATGTATAACAGCACTACGAGTAAAGAACATCTCAAACCTTGACCAAGAGCTCTAAGCATGCCACAGAACCAGCTGCTACTGCAGATAACAATGGTGTGACATTATCTTCAGTCTCAGCGTTAGGCTGCAAAGTCATTAAAACAAACAAACTTTAAGTTTCGTTGAAGATTATGGTTTAGATGGAAACTCAACTAAAGATATAATACACAAGAGGTTACATCAGCATTGTGTTGTAACAAGACTTCCACTGCATCTTTTTGATCATGGCCAGCAGCCCATATTAACGGTGTGCCAGATTCACTTTGAGAATCAACAGGAACACCTCTAGAGAGCAGTTCCTTTACCAACTCAATTTCCCCTAATGATAAGCAAACACACACAACAATTGGTGACCTGAGAAAGTGAAACGAAATAAACAACGGAGTAATCAACAAACCAACCTGTCCCAGCTGCATGATGCAAAGCAGTAGCTCCTAGTTCACTAGCAATATTAGGATCAGCTCCGTGATCTGAAAGGTACTTAGCCGTCTCAATCTGTCCTTGCCTTGCAGCATGAACAAGTGGAGTATCCCCTGCAACATTATTACAAGTCTTTAAAATAATGACATTTGAAAAAAAAATAGAGCTATAAGTTAAGACTAACCAGCTTCATCTTTTGTGTTGGCGTCAAGTTTCAGCTCTTCTATGCATTCAAAGGAAATATATAGTAGAACGAAGAGAGCCAAAAACAGAGCAAATTATAAAAGTGAACTTTATTCATGAGACTGATCCAACTACAGAGAAGTATCAATACCCATCAAGGCATCAAGGAATCACGATGAAGTCAAAGAAAAGAGATTGATACATCTATCTAACACATAGAAGAAGAACAGAGCCAAAACAGAGCAAATTAAAAAAAAAAGTTAACTTTATTTATCAGAGATCAATTCAACTAAAGAGAAGTGTTAAAACCCATCAAGTAAACTCTATGCATTCAAAAGAAAGAGATTGATTCATCTTTCTTTATAAGAAGCAAGAGAGCAAACCTGCAAGAGCAGTAGAAGCATCAAGAGCCATGGCAGATAACTAAGCTTGTTCCTCTGATGAGTTAATGAAAACTTTGAAGCAGAGTATCTCACTCAAAGCATGTGAAATCTAAAAGAGTTTGAACAAAAGCTACAACTATTGAATATTCAGACCATCAAGTTTCAAGCAGTATACACACACACACATGAAAAGGTTTAGAATTTTCTAACCTCAACGTGAACCTCTTTAGCCTCTGATGCTTGAGAAGCACTCCACAAGGTCTGAGAATGAGGAGGAGGAGGAGCAGTGGTAGCGAAATAATCCTCATCTTCATCGTCACTATCAATATCAGCCCAAGCCTTAGCCTTTAGAGGCGTAGGAGCCCAAAAGACCTGTGGCTCAGCCTCCTTAACCGGTTCTGTGACCTTAACAGACTTCTTCTTCTTCCTCCGAGTATCCAAAGCTGCGAACAAGTTTGTGTTTTGAATCGTCGGTTTCATCGATCCTTCCTCTCTCATGTTTCCTCCACCACCAACCATCTCTTCATGATTCAGATAAGCGTAAAGTTTGTTCCTTTATGGAAACCCAGTAACTGAAACTCTCGATTTCAGCTGGATCGAGCAATGAGGAAGAGATAAAAAAAAAATTAATTCGATTTCTACGATGATCATATGAGCGGCGATTCTGGAAAGTGATTGATAATTAGGGGGTTTTTTTTAGAGAAGCAGAGCTTGCTTGTGGCAGCAGATCTTCATCAGATCAGTTCACTTTTTTTTCCCCACCAAAAACAACAACAAAACGACGTCGCCACCTTATAAGGATCACCCTTCCAGAAATCCTTAGGTAAGGATTAATTCACCCAGTAACATAGCTTTTTATTATTATTTAATTAAAATCTGACAAGGATTTTTGCTAAGGATCAGTTAAAAAGCACCGTTGCACATGGTCTAATGTTGGAAAGAAGAGTCCGTAACACTTTAGAATCAGCATGGGTTTTAGCAATTTCCGCCTAAGACCACTGTGTGTACAAGAATTTTAGCCTACATCTTTTTGACACTATTCATTGGCATTATTGCACAAATACGATGGATTATCAACAAGGATAAAACTAAGTAAAATGAAAATGGACCAATGCTGGAATCGCANGTTTTATCATGTCGAAGGGAAGACGATAAAACATCAATAGTCCATGCTTATCCAAAGGCTAGCATAGTGGGATCAACGGTATATTTTAGTGTGGATGGAATGAGATATATGGCAAGCTGAGGTTTTTGCGCAAATAGTGAAAAGAGAATCACGTTGTAAAAGAGGGAGGAGAGACTATGTTGACTTTTTTTTTTTTTTTTTGAAATGCTACAAATTATTGTTATACTTTCCATATATTTATTTGCATATAAGCTCTTTAGTGTTAAAAAGCAATAGACTTCACTATATTGAAGTAACCTAAGTGTTCCAAATAATCAATAATTTTTAGTTAAACACTATATTCTTTATCGTCTTATTTTATTAACTAAAATTATTAATAAAATGTTTAATAACCCAAAACTTCTTTTTAATCAATAGATTAATTACAATCTAACAAAAAAATCCATCAATGTAAAATTACTTTAGCACACAATTATAATATCATCTAAAATACATACACTTTAGAAAAATAATAAAAACGATTTTTTAAAACTATTGTGTTTACACGTTTTATCAAATACAAATTAAAAGCGAAAAGCTTATGAAATGATTCCATCATTTTATCACGAAGCTAAGTTACCAAAAAAAAAAATTTATCACGAAGCTCAAGATTAGAAAAATAAAAAATAAACAAAATAAATAATTAAATAGTAATACATAATAGACTAAAAAAGTTTTTATGAAAATAAGACCACGATAAAAAACTAATTAATAATCAAAAATAAAAATAATTTTTAGGTAAAATAGAATAAAAATAAAAAATAATTATAAAAACAAAAATGAATAATTTTTATATAATATAGATATGTTAAGTTATTCTAACCAAATAAATGTAGAATGTATTTTAAATATTCATGTCAAGAATTCTATAAAAAAACTATAAACATAGATCCACAACTATGTAAAATTAAAATATATAGTTATAAAGTCGAATAATAGCACGGTATAAAATAATGTAAGAGAACAAATAAAACTAGGTAACTTCAAATTAAACATCTAAATCAATAGTTTTACCATTAAAATAAAAATAGAATAAAACTTCAAATAGACAATCTTATTAATCGTAAGGAAAAATTTCGTTAATTGTAATGAAAATAAAACTGAATAAAGAATAAAAATCAATAACTATTTATACTAATATAGAACACAAAGTTTTAAATAAAAACAAGTATTAAACAAAAATCAAAATATTTATTTAAATTATTTTTAAATTACCATTCCGCCCGTAGGGCGGGTCGAAGCTATAACTTAATATGTATGTTTTGTTATATTCTCTAAATTTTACAAAAATAATTAGTGTAGTTATTAAAATTTCCGATATAAATAATAATGAAATAAAATTTAATACAAACTAAATAAATTTCTTTTTTTGTCGAAAAAATAAACATACTCTAAGAAGACTGTGTAAACCAAACTGATAACTCTGCATCCATAAGAACAACGAAGGACGGCTGCTTCATGGCACTCCGCTTCAGGCTGCCCACCTCTTTACTCAGCGTTCTCAGGATATGAATGATGTCTGAGTAGGTATATTTTACTTGTAGAACCTTGATTCTTCTAAATAATTTGCGAAAGCTGGTCATTCCTCTGGTGCCAAGACCATCTTCATCAATTAAATACAATCCGTCGCAAACGTTACATGATACTGACGTAGGTTTCCTCATGCTTTTCATCGCCCAAATGAGCGTTTATATTTACGAATGTGAAGGTGAAATGCTTGCTCTCGCGTTCTTGTGTTCCTAGCTCCCATAAGCCCCGCAAAACCCGGCAACGTACTATACCAACCCTGTCCAGAAAAAGCTCTTGTGCTTTCCATAAACCATCCGTAAAACACCAGCGAATCAAAGGTAGCGTAACTTCCTCCGTTTGTACGACTTGAACATCTCCACTTGTGGCTGGTATATGAGCTTCAGCCCAGAGTAACGATTTTGTCTCTGCCAGTTTGAGAGTATCTCTCGAATCTACATCAATGTTACTAAAAATCTTATTGTTTTGTCCTTTCCAGATGTACCATAAAATCCATGTAAATTAATGATCCTCCATCTACGGAGATGCTCGCAAGTATAAATAGTCCATATATTTGAATAGCGTCTGTGAAGGAAAGGTATCTGGATGCGATGGTACTTTAGATAGAGCCCATACTTAGACAGCTGGAGGACATTCAAAGAACACATGATTAATTAATTGATTCTTCCCTGGTGCAACATCTTTCACACTGAACATCCCCCTGTATATCCCTACTCCAAATGTTTTTCTTTACTGAACTCGAGACCAACTGCCAGAGAAAATGTTTTATCTTTGGCGGACATCGGATTTTCCAAGCTTGAGCTTTTAACACAGTAACCGTGGGTCCATAAAACGGCCATGAAATGCCATCCATTCTTGGTCCAACAGCCTATTTCGACTTAATGGTATAGTTTCAATAATCATAGCTTCTTCAGGTTCCACCAAAGACAGAATAATCTGAGAGTTCCATGTCAGTGATGTTGGGTTGATTAGAGAGTAAACCGTAAGATTTGGGTAGAGATTTTGATAATTACTTTTTTTTTCTGGTCTCGGGCGAGTGGTTGGGAGCCAGAGATCATTCCATACAAATATAGATGATCCTGATCCCACCTTTTTGATTAGTTCTTTGCTAACCAGATATCTAGCAGATAAAATATTTCGCCATCCATCGGATGGAAAGTATGAACGGATTGGATCCAGGGGTGAAGCATTCGTGAAATGTCGTCTTTTGAAAACTCGAGAAAACAAAGTATTAGGTTTCTCAATCAAACGCCACAACTATTTTCCTAACAAAGCCGAATTAAAATCCAAAATATCATTGAAACCCAGCCCTCCCTCCTCTTTCCCCGTACATAGTTTATTCCAAGATTTACAGTGCATTACTCTCGTACTTCCTCTCGAGGTCCACCAAAACTGTGCCACTGCACTTGTTATTACGATTTTCAAATTTTTTTTATTGGTTTACAAATTCTAACACTCTTATAAAAGTTCAGTGTTATTGAATTGTTTAATTACATACAATATGAATTGTTATTCATACAAATTGTTTTGCTATTCAAAAGCTTTGGTTTAAGGATTGTATGATTCTATTAAAATTTAGTGTTAATTTTGATGGGGTTTTTATAATATTTTCTTAAATTTCTTAAATATTCAAACTTTTTGCAGTTCTTTGCAAGATTAAAAAATTTCACACTTTTTGAAAGCACTAAACTCTACATATTTAACTCCCCCACTAACTCTACATAAAAACAAATAAAATAACAGTATCCTAACATTAAATCTCTATAGTAGTGAATTAGATATTAAAAATATATAACAAGAAAAATATCATGTGTATGTTAATGGTTTCTTATTAGATATTGAAAAATATATAATAAGAAAATTAGTATCTTAACTTTAAAATATAGTAATGAATTATATATTGAACAATATATAATAATAAGATATCATGTGTATGTTTACTGTTTAAAAATATTTAATAAGAAAAATATCATGTGTTTCTTTATGGTTTCTTATTATATATTGAAAATAATATGAAAAATCAGTATCTTAACTTTACTAAAAGATATTTTTGTTTTTTTGTTTAGACCAGTGAAGTTAAATATTAAAATTATAATATAAAAATAAAAAATACAATTTTCTTTGAAAATAAAACAATATTAGAAAATCAATATTATTATTTTTAAAAATAGTTCTGATTGGAAATTATCATTTTTATACTTTAACTTCATAGACTTAGAAAACAGTAAAATCAATATTATTATTTTTAAAAATAGTTCTGATTGGATATTATCATTTTTATACTTTAACTTCATAGACTTAGAAAACAGTAAAACCTTAAGTTTATTTTAATAGTCTTATTTCTTTTGATTTAGGTTAATTATTTCAGTTTGATTTCATTTAACGAAATTTTTAGTTAACATTTGACTATTTTTCTTTTAATTTCACGGTTTGAGAAATAAAACCAAAAATATATTTTTGAGTCTTATTTCTTTTGATTTGATTTAACTATTTAGTTTGATTTTCATTAAATTTTAAATAGAATTAAATTATATTTTTTCTGTATGATATTATATTTAATGATTATATATTTCAAATATATATCTTATGAACTCGTTTTAAATACAATTAAATTTATAATTTAAATATATAAATTTTAGGAAATTTTGGTTTTCTTTTAGTTAAAATACGTTGAACAAGTAAAAATTAATTTGTTAATTAATCTAATGAAAAGACTAATTTAGATAAATTTTTAATCAATCAAATATAAAAAGTTATTTGATTAGTGTTGTTTTAATATACGGGGGATTAATCAGACATTTATTTTAAGGTACTTTTCATATTATAT